GTCCGTCTTCTCTTTTGCGTGTCATTTGTCTCGCAGCCTACAGGTTTTCACTGGGGCAGTCGAATCGAATAGGTTTTCACTGGGGCAGTCGAATCGAACAGGTTCTCACTCGGGCAGTCGAATCGAACAGGATAAGACCAAAACATGAGTCAATGAAGTATTCCGACACTTCCCTCCGAAAAGCATCCTGCCCGCTCAATTCTCTTATGCCTGGCCCGAACCTACGAGATGGCGTGCTTTCCGCTCGCAAGACCGTAGATTAGGAGAGAAGAACTGGCGGAGGACAATTTGTAGCTGGCGAAAAGACAGTGGAAGGATCTAGCGAGAATGACTGGCTGTCCTTGTATCCTGGTCTTACCTTCGATCGTGACGGATCTTGACTTTGGCAGACCTTGGGCTGGTGATAATCTTGAGTGTAAAGGGAGGAGATTTTGGTAGGTCTTTCTTGACTGCGGCGAACCCGGATGGGACATCTTTAGCTCTCAATCTCGACTCAGCGCCTTCCGCATAGCGTACTCCTTGAAGTACGTGGACATTTGGTGTTCTGGATGGATGCCGGCAAAGATCTTGAGAGTGATGCTAAAAATCGTGTGGACGTATTGATCCTGAGCAGACTCTCGGAGTCGAAAATCGCAGAAGAAACAGCAGGAGTAGGAAGAATGAGGCATTCTGCTTTGAAGGGGACCACGCAAGATATGACTCCAACGAAGTACGACAACAGAAATGGACAGTGCGCTTACATAATTACATTGAAGACTTCAGAGCCACCGACAACGGTTATGCAGCTTATATGCGCCCGGAAGACGGAATGCGCCGGATCTAAGAAAGAATGTAAATTTGGAAGCAAGTAGGTCGAAGCTGGGGAATGGCGTGGCTCTCGCGTACGGACGCAGCAAGGATTGATTTCGCGAGAACGCTTGCGCTACAGGGGACGATTCGATGACGACAAGGGACTCGAGAATCTTCAACAAGCCTATTCTCAACAAGGCCCTCGAAGGTTACGGGTGAGGGTTCGAAGTATGCCGCGAACAAAAGCTACCGGAGGAGCTGGGAAGAAAGTGGTAGGCTTACTTGTACGGCGTAGTACTACTGTCGAGACCGCCTGCTCTCGAGTTTCAGTGGAGGGGCCATTTCGTACGGACAAAGAAACGTGGAAGGCATAGCCGACGACTTCTGTGGTTGCAGCTCTGAGACTAACTAACGTTCCTGGCTTTCCTGGGTTTTGAACCACGCTAGCCGGAACGAAAATCAGATTCAGAAGTCGCGCCCCTGGAAAACCGGCAAGCCTACGCTTTCGGACTTCCTGGTGCGGAAGACGCCGCTAGGATCTTGCAAACGTTACTGGCTCCCTTGAATCTCTAGTGTCCCTTGAACTTATTCAGTGATCGCCCTTGAAAAGGTTCTGGGAAGTCTTGTGTTTTCCGTCGATTGTAACGTGGACGGCTCTCGGCTGATTTTGTAGCCATCTTCTCGTCTGCCGCTCTTATTACTTTTTCGCAGGGCATGTGTACGGATGATGGGTACGAGCTATTAACGGTGTGGCCCTTCCGCACTACAGACGCCTCAGCCCCAAAACATCGATCAGCCCCAGATTCACTTCTCCAAATTTTGCGAACAGACAATTAGCAGGGTCGGAGTCCTGCTGCATCGCTGGAGGCGATTGTGGTGGACGTGTCTTGTCTTGCGCCCGCTCCTCTGGATGGTCGTATATCTGCTCTAGGTGTCCTTCTCCAAAGCTTAATACATGAACTGCAATATCCTCCTCTTCGTCTTCCAGGACATTCTGGCGCAGGAAGAACGCTCGAAAAAGCTCCAACAGTCTCAAACGGACTGACATAACACGGATCGCATCGGCTCGTTACTAAATAGCAGATTCAGACTCAGTGTCTGCTCCGACAGCCTTCGCGAGATACCGATGCTTTGCCCTGGTTCCTTTCAACTCATCGATGAAGGACTGTCGAGCAGAATCGTGGTCGCTCTCTATCGGAGGGTGGCTCGGCCACACTGGTTGCTCCGAAGCGCCGCCTCCGCTGAAACTGTCTTCGCCGCCGATCGCCAATCGCCGTGGTGAGTGATATTGGCAAGTTGAAGCTGTTTGCAGCTTGGGAGAGTGATAGCCCGAACTTCTGCTGCATCCGAGAAAGCGAGTTGTTGATCCGCTAGAGGTCTGATGCTTGTCGTACGACTATCCGACCCCGAATTGTCGATAGGCTCGGAAGCAGGAGCCACAGTAGAGGCTCGCGGCGTTCCGAGCGCCCGGAGCTCTCGTGACAACGAAGTCTGTTTCAAAGCCATTGCCGAGAGATTGCTCGGATTACGGCTTGACATTTGGAGGGATGGGAAGGTGCCGCTGGTGTGCGGTCCGGGTTGAGTTCTGGCAATACCTCTCTCCGGCACACGACTGGGAGACTGTTAAAGGCCGATCATCGATGGTAGCTCGAAGGATCCGGACTCCAGACGATTCGCTTGCCTTTATGCCAGAGTATTTTTTGGTTCGAAACCTGGCTCTTGACCAGATACAGACGTCTCAGAAGGAGCTGAACGATTCAACTCTGCCTTGTTCCATGTTCATGGACTCATCGCCTACAGACGACGTCGATGTTCGGACAGTCGTCCTTTCTCTCGATGGATCAAGCTAAGGTCTCATTGTGCTCCTTTTAGTGGTCGTGGTGGCAACAGGTGAGAAGGAACTGACCCAGTCGACTTTCTACTTAGCCGGAGACGATGGTATGTCACGATCTCTTATATCGCCTGTTAGGTACTTCTGCGCCAAAAGATTATCGAATAATACGCCGTTAAAAGTGGGAATTGAGGTGGTCTCTACATCGAATGTTGGCTGCGTAATGCAGCTCCCGGAGGCCTTTTGAGCGGCGCTGTTTGCGTTCTGTTTGGTTCTCGCTGCCGCCAAACGAAGCGAAGACCGCCGCTGATTGGGATCTTAGCTAACAATGCTCGCAATGTCGTTATCTACGCTGGCTCGAGTAGTGTAAGCGTAGCCAACGCTTAGTGATCATTTCCACCTCTGCTCGCTTGAGCCAACCTCCCTTATAGGCATCACCAACCGGCCTGCTAGTATAACATATCCCATTCAGAGTCGAACGCCCGGGCAGCACCTCCGGGAAAGAGTTCTGGCTGTCTCTCCCGGAGGGCTTCGTTTCGCTGAGTGAAGATCTCGTAGCCGTTCTCAGGGACTCCAGATGGTGGATCGGATTCGAGAAGCCCGTCCCAGCGTGAAGCCTTGTGCCATGGCTGAGCAGTATCTCATCCTGCTGGGAAGGGTTTGTAGAAACTCTTAGAGTCCCAAGCAATACCGCAAAGTGCTCGAGAGAGTTTGCTGGATTGAATCACCGGACCTCTCTCAAGTATAAGAGACAGCAGTGGATCACTATGGGACATGAAAGGCGATGCGGATTGTTTGCTTCCTCGCGATGCCTTTCTCGGCTTTGCGACATGCATTCGTTGACTTTCCTTCTGTCTGCTTGTGCTGCCTTTCGGCAGCATCATTGGATTGGCTCTCTTACGATCTGGCTTGGTTTCCACTGTTTCCTGTTGATACAAAGCAGTAAAGGCAAGGAGATACAAGGTATCTTCCCGGAAGCCACCTAGTGCTTGGCCTCGGGGCTCCGAGGTATACCAGACGTGCACGATGCCGTGGAACCAAGTAGATACAAACGACGTGTTATGGCAGTACTCGCCTTCAAACGAAGGACCCAATATCTTTACTTTCGTTCGTCGGACTCCAAAACTTCGGAATCACGGCTGCGCCTATTCAATTCAATAGTACTTGGAGGACAACTTCCAATGTTGGTTTGGTACGGAAAAGAGCCTCGCGTCCATGTCGTTCCTCTTGCCATCGTGGTCTTTGGCTTCTTAATGCACCACCTCTCTAGCAAAAACTCGGTAGCGACTTCACTGCTATTCGTGTACGGCCTCGTCTTCTTCCGCACGAACTTCGCGATTTGGCTTTTGTACGTTGAACTAGCGAAACGCCTTGGTCTGGTCTGCTCCTAGTATCCTGCTCGCCCAAAGTATCACGGCGTCCGCGTACGTCCACACACGTACCTGGGTGCTGGAGATCTTATAGACCTTGCTTGAATTAGGCATAAATTCCATGAGCTCCTGTCGCGCTGTTCATGGCTCGAGAATCGTGACCTGTTCTGCAAATAAGCCTGCCTATTGGACCAGTTCTGATTTCTATTGGTCTCCAGTCTCTTTTTGTCTGGAACGAGAATGTGACGATCACCCTGGCCGAACGGGAAGCTGTGCAGCAACTGAGGCTGCCTGCCGATAGATTCGTCCTATGGTCTAGATATCCGCCCTTTCTGCCGCCTGAGCTCACGTGGCCGCACAATATCATAGTCCATGACCGGATCGAAGTTGAGAACGGCTGGCTGTCACCCGAGGCTCCTCTACACATGGTCGCCAACTTAATGCAAAAGTTCGAAGGACCACGCCACATTATGCGGAAGCACATGGCCATCCTGTACTGTAAGACAGACATATAGCTGAGATTGAATGGGGCCGAGATCATGGATATGATGCACACCAATGCGAATATGCCGGAGGAACAAGTGTTCACAAAGTCGGGGCGAAAGTTCCTGTAGAGGAGACAGAAGATCGCCTGCGGCAGGAGACGGAGTACCGAATACGACATTGGCCTTCGTACCCTTCCCTCCATCAGCTTTTCCGGCCAGCAGCCCTTCGATAGACTCCATTCGGGCGAACTTCCTCAGGTTGCCGGGCGTCGAGCATCTCGTTGGCAGTATGGTATTCGCCTATTACGATAGTGTAGAGGAAGTATCCTTCGACTTGTACCTGCGCTTGATGTCTGCCTTGAACTCGCTGGACGCGTTGTCATTATTATCGACTCCGGTATCTGAAGATGAGAGCAGCTCGATCGATTCAGCCGGTTAGCTTTCTTGGTGTGACAATGCGCATGCAATACCTTGTCAAGGCAGACTAAGCTGGCTATTTTTGCCACCTCCCGTCTGCATCGCAGGATGGTACCTTACAACATCGTCCGGAGTAGGAGCCCGGTGGCTCCGATGCAGTGCGCGCTTGTCGCCGACGAAGTACGTAGCTCCCGCGAAGCTTAACAACACCTGCACATTGCCATCCATCTTGTAGGCAATCGGTAGAGAGCAGCTGCTGGACGATGCGACCGACCCCTTCCGGAGCCTCGCGAGAGGGAGAGGTACAGGTCAGATCCTCAACTCCCTACTCGAGCATGTCGCCGAGACTGATCCTGCGCCCATTATCAACATCCTCAAGCCTTACTGGGTCCGGAAGAAAATGAAGAACGAGTTTCAAGTCGCCAACTTTCGGGGTTTTGAGCAAGTGCCAGAGCTCACTTAGGTCTTCTTCACTCCCAGGAATGACTCTGGGGAGAGAGGTATGTTGCCAGTGCCATTTGAATTGTCGTCCGGCAATGTCGTGTAGAGCTTCCGCGCAAGAACGAGAGTGCACAAAGGACTGGATCAGAAGAGGGTCGTCGAGAGGATGCAAAGGCTAGCATCAACGCGCCGAGATCTTACCGAGTTCCAGCCAGCCCAAAGGCTCAGACGTTTTTATTTATGCCTCTGTGACTGTGCACCTCTCATGGTTATCGCCGCTATGCAGATCACACGTGCAGTCATTGCCAGCGGCCTAGCTACGGCATGATCGCATCTTCACTTCATTGCAGGTAGGTCAAGAATCTCTTCGGGCTTGGCGGTGCTGTTAAGGGGCGTCTGGCTAATCGAACATTGTGGTGCCGCTGGCCGCATCTTCACAGAAACCCAGGTTGTCGAAGCGTAGGTAATCCAAGTAGAAGTGGATAAAATTGTAGCGCAAGTACTGACTCATGCTCGTCTTGCACTGGAAGTACGAGATCCACAAGCTGCGGTGCCATTTACTTAATGTCCGTCTGCACTTACATAGTCCTAGTAAGGCAGTGATAAGATTTGAAAATTTCTAGTGCTATCCAGCGGCGGAGGAAGACGCGAGACCGCGCTAGTATTCGTAATGTAGTGTACCAAGTGGACTAATCGCCCTCTGGATGCAGCGGAAAGCCGATCGCGTAGTCCTTAGGAGGACATTCGTTGATTGCTGCTGGCAACAGTACTATTGGGCAAGTTGTGAGGACCGCTATGGCACGTTGTCCAAATGAAGAGCCGGAAGCCTAAAAAGCCGCTTCTCTATTGTAACACTCTCAAATGCCAGATCGGCATGGTTGAAAGGAAGAGACCGGTGTTCAATAGAGATTTTTGTCGCCAGAAAGGCTCGGTTGAACGTGGTGACGATCTGCGTTCGAGGGGATCTGAGCCGATCTTTAGCAAGAACGAGGCCACAGAATGGGACGTAAGAGTAGGGGACTGGGTGACCAGCCACTCTCCATGTGCCAGCTGTTTCCATCCAAAGATCAGAGATCTGCTCCTCCCAAGCGAACTTAGAGACATGGAAAAGAGTGCAATACTCTCAACTTCTTCCACGATTACCACAGTTCTGGATGGAATACCTGCGTTCAGGACCACACCTTGCTGTGATTCCTGAGTGTGTATGCTGCTCGCTCGGTCACTTTCTGCACGGGAAAGCACCGAAAGGCTTGCGATATCTTAAGTAGACTTGCAGTTGCTCGCTTCGCGAGGGGTGATCCATATTCTACCAGTAGCGAGTGACCAAGATGATATGACGGAATGGGTAGATAAGCCCTTCACAAGGCGAGTTCCACGTTATCGGTGTCATAGTGCCAAAGCTCTTCGGTATCTTGTATCCTTCAACTCTCTTGTCAATTCCTAGCGCCAGAGCATCAAACCGCTTAGTAGATCGGCATTGACAGGCGTTGTCTTCAGTCAGAACTGCTAACAACTGGATTGAGCTCCTTGGCTTGATGGGGTCCATGTTCGCCGTAACATTTTGGCTCCACCAAAGAGGTGCAACAAGTGAAGGTGACAGGGCCGATACTCTCCGTGATCCCATCGATGTGAAAGGATGGGAAGGGCTTGTCGACAATGTTTTCGCGAACTCGTCCTCTAGAGCAATGCACTCTTCGGAGATCATCATGCTTTCCGGGCGTACTCGGCGTTTAAACAAGGTTGCAGGCGTGGAGAAGTAGTATGCTTCGTGATTGGATCCTCGTGGCAATGCCGACATGGAATTTTTGCCTCGTCTAGGCAAAGCCGGAATCCTTGTTCTGCGATTGCTCTTGCGCTTGAGCCTTGGATCACTAGACACTGTCTTCTGTGTGAGCATGTTTGATCTCGTGAGACCAGGAGTCTTGGCTTCAGCTGGACTGGGATCGATGACGTGTCTACTGGTCTCGACAAGACGCAGTCACGTAGGCTAAGATCGACGCAATGTTTCCGACACTCTGATCTTTGAGGTCGCAGCGGTGACGATGCACTAGATCACGGTCCTCGTGATGATACTGGCACACCCCGGGCAGAAAATCGACTCGGCTAACGAAATCGCAAGCTACCTGTCGAAGCCCTCTTACCGCCCTTCGCGGCCGTGCGAATCTTCGCCGTCTTGCGGCATCTGTAGTGTTGCTCGATACCGTGGTTGATTCGCGCCATGGGTCAGAGGCGACCTCGACGTGTAGAGATGGCTGAACCGAAAGAGCGTGCATGGACGAACGCAAGTATGCGCCGACTCTGCGTGTTTCGAGAAGATAAAGTCACGTGCTGGTCCCGTTAGCACTAGGACTGAAGGTACCATCTACAGCTGCTCATTTGCTTTGCATTCTGAGACGGCTGATGACAATGAACTCGACGAACCTCAATTCCGACCATCCATCGTCAGGCTGGAGTAGTGGCGATACAACGAATGAGAAGAAAACATTAGCCAGATTCCTGCGAGAACTGCGACTTTAGCAGGTCGTTTTCCTCTGATGCAGAAAGAGAGCGGCTTGCTGCAGCTGTCGCGCAGCTGAGGAGCTGTCGGTCTCGCAGTCGCTCGCATGAGCCCGTCGGTGGGAGGAGCTTTGCTCCTCGAGAGATTTCTATTTCTCGGCCGAACATGCCCCGATTCTGTAAGAGAGAAACGACGTTGGCGTAGTTACCGTCAGGAAGCAAATTCATAGGTTTTGCAGCTCAACGCTCCCTCGAATACATTCTGTCTGAAGCAATATGCCGAGGTGTGCTCGCGCTGTAAGGATTCGAATGCTTTTCTGAGCGCATTCGACATGACCTACCGCTCCCGACAAGCTCTGCCAGCGCAAAGTCAGTTCTTGGTATCCACGTCTCACTTTTACTCCCCAGTGCCGTGTGCTCTTCTGGATGTAGTGCCGCATGCAATACGCTTGCGCCACTGCTCCCTTCCTGCAGCTCGTCCCAACTCTCGGGCCTGCACCTCCACGACTCTAGTTGTCCCGTCTCCACATGCAAGGCCGGCATCAATCGGTGCCATTCGCATCTTTCAAGCTTCCAAAACCTCCCCTAAGCCGTATCTTCAGCGACCTCCAAAAGGACTATCAGCCAGCTGTAGAGCCTTCAAGCCGCGTAGCCCGTCTTCCACGCCGTGTGCTTTATGTAGTAAAGTTCGATTGAGATGAGCTCTTGCTGGACCGAGCTCTTTGCGAGCCCTCTCACAATTGCTTGTCGTATGGTCAGCGCCGGTCTCGGATCGAGGAGGACTTTCGATATCGGCATCTCGGCGGATGAACAGATCGAGGAGTCGGAGTCTGCCAACCCGACGCTGGCCTTGGAACAGAGAGTCGAGAAGTACGAGACGAGCTCAGACGGACGTGATACCGCCGAGTAGAAGAAAGAGGTAGGTCGGATCCATTCTTATCTCGAGTGAAAGGGCCAGAGAGGTAGATGTTTTATTCGAGGAGAAAGATTTCGTGGATACATCGAGAGAAAATAGAGTCGCGAGTCCGCAGTACAGTGTCATGTGTAGACAGTGTAATGAAGACGGGTATGTAGGAGAGATGGAACTGTGGGACAGCCGCAGGAGACGTGTGAAGTGGGGATAAACTTTGCGCGGTAATGTCAAGCAACCCGAGCTAAGCTTCAGGCTAAGTCTGGTGGTTGGGCATCAAATTGCCGATCAGATCCAGCTCGCTCTTCACCGCCATCAACTTCTTCCACTAACAATGAACGACAATCTCCATCACTGCATCACATACAGTCAGACGACACTAAGCACAACCGTCCACGCGCACCACTAACGCCTACCGTCAAGTATCCCTACAGACTCCGCCGACGTTCATCACACGAGATTAATACCGAGATCCCTCTGCGGCCTCTTGCTTCCTCGCTCTGTAATGCCCTGGTCTGAACGCCCATGACCTCTCGACTCGGCCGACGCTCGACTGTGCTACTTTCCTTCCAATTATTCTTGCAGGCGTCGAAGTGAGTCCCGAGCTAAAAGGCAAAGGGAGGTGCTTGCCACTGCTTGGAAGACGAACAGCCGCAGATTTGGTGAATGCGACACTGCGTACACGGCCGAGAATCACTTCAAGACCGAAGATATGTCGACCTTTGATCTAAGCTGCGAAACAGCTTTGAGAATCCCTTCTGGACAGTGTCTGTATAGGATGGAGACATCTTCAATGGAGTCTTGACAAAATTGCTATATGAAAGGTTTACACCCGATCTGATACGACAGAGATGCAGCCAAGTCCACTGAAAAATTGATTCCAGCCTGGAGAGAAGGACTTACGACCTTGTTGTCTTCCGGAACATGGGTCTGATCAAACGTGGAGGGCAGGCTTCTTTCAACGAAATTCCCGCAGAGGTCGCGAATCCTTCCAGCCGAGCTCCTTTCAGAAGTCTACTGCGGGTTCGCGCACCGGAGACACCTCGATCCTGCTTTCAATCTTTTGCACATTCCAAACCGGCTTTCGGCGGAGACAAAGGCTTCGGATCGGTGTTCGAAGCTGAAGCAAAGGTGCAGTCCCCTCTCGAAATGCAAACGAGTCAGAAGTGCGTGGGTGGCGGCGAGTGTAGGAACCTCAAATCATCGTGGACAACGGGACGGCCAGGTGTGAGAGTCCTTGCTGCAGATTATGCAATTTACTTCAGAGCTAAGACCCTTAAGTCTTCGTGAATATCTGCTAGCTCACAGACCGCGGAACAAAATGGAACTTCCAGTGTCGTACCTTTTCAGTCGTGGGCGCCCCCAGTGTGCAGACGACCACTTTCTTGTATAACTAGCATACCCACTTGCGCGTGATGATTTCTAGGGAGGTTAAGAGCGACTTTTCACGGGTAATAAGCGTAGCTCGGCGAAGAGCGCATGCTTCCTACTGGAGCTTCTGGGAAACTATCGCTCCCTCTTGTGTTAACATCTAGATCCGACCTTTAGGTTCCCTGATAAATGTATCTTGCGCCGAATTGTTAAGCTATAGCAACATAAGTTGGCACTATAGACCC